GAGAGGCTGCCATGTCGTATTTTTCATAATGCGCCATGATGATTTTTTTTTTGTTCGTTGTTTCAATACACGCGCGATACACATGCCTACACGCATACACACGCACAAACACACGCACACAACTTTCTCTTTCTCTCTCTTTTTTTTTTTGTTTGCCTCTTTCTATTTTTTTTCCTTTTTCTCTTTTTCTCTTTTTTTTTTTTTTGTTTCCGTTTTCCACTTTTATCTTCGTTTTCTTCTTCTTCTTTTCCTTTTTTTCCCCCCTCCTCCCTCCCCTTTCCCCCCACCTCCCTCCCCATTCCCCCTCCTCTCCTCCCCTTTCCCCCCCTCCTCCTCCCCCTTTTCCCCTTTTCCTCCCTCCCTCCTCCCCCTTTTCCCCTTCTCCCTTCCCCCTTTCCTCCCTTCCCTCCCTCTCTCCCTTCCCTCCCCTCCTCCCTCCCTCCCCTTTCCCCTCCCTCTCCTCCCCTCCCCCTTTTCCCCCCCTCCTCCCCCCTTCCCCCTCTCCTCCCTCCCCCTTTCCCCACCTTCTGTTCATGCTTGCACTAATTGCCTGCGTAAAAGTGACCTTGCTTTTGTGCACGTCACGTACCTCTTCACACAGAGAAGTATGTGACCTTGATTCACTCTTTCCTCGCACTCGGCTGTACGGAGGGTGAGATAATTCTGATGTAATTCTCTAAGTGATTTAATGGAGTTGGAGACGATTTAGTTATTTCATAATAACAGAGGAGAGGCTGCCATGTCGTATTTTTTCATATGCGCCATGATGATTTTTTTTTTTTTTGTTCGTTGTTTCGATACACGCGCGCCGCGCACACATACCTACACGCATACACTACACGCACAAACACACGCACACGCTTTCTCTTTCTCTCTCTTTTTTTGTTTCTCTTTCTATTTTTTTCCATTTTCTTCTTTCTTTTTTTCTTTTTTTTTTTTTTTTTTTTTTCTCTTTCCCTCTTTTTTTGTTTCTGTTTTCACTTTTTGTTTCTGTTTTCCACCTTCTATCTTCGTTTTCTTCTTCTTCTTTTCCTTTTTTCTCTCTTTCTCTCTCTGTTTTGTTTCTGTTTTTCCTCTTCTATTTTCTTTTTCTCCTTTCTTTTCCTTTTCTTCTTTTCCTTTTTTCTTGTTATTTTCTTTTTTTCTCTCTTTTTCTCTCTGTTTTGTTTCTGTTTTTCCTCTTTCTATTTTCTTTTTCTCCTTTTTTTCCATTTCGTCTTTCCTTTTTCTTGTTATTTTCTTTTTTCTCTTTCTCTCTCTATTTTGTTTCTGTTTTTCCTCTTTCTATTTTCTTTTTCTTCTTCTCATTCCCTCTCCTTCTTCTTTCTTCTTCGTTTCTTTTTCTTCTTTTTTTATCTCTCAAGTCCTGCTCTCTCGTCCCTGTATGTCTTTTATTCTCTTCTTCTTCTTTTCTTTTCAATCTTTTTATTATCCTTATTCCTTCCTTGACTTGATGCCAAGTTGCTGCTTCTTCGTAACTTTTACTGTCTCTGAAGGGGTGTGTATGATTGGGGAAACAAAGATTTTTTTTGTTGTTTTTTTTGTTTTTCTCTTCTCCTTTCTTTCTTTCTTTTTTCTCGCTTGTCTTTTTCGTTGCCCCTTTCTCTTTCTACCCTTCTTTTGTTTGTTTGTTTTGTTTTTTCCTTTTCTCTTTCCCTTTCTTCTTTCTTTCTTTTTCTCGCTTTTTTTCCGTTGCCCCTTTCTCTTTCTACCCCTTCCTCTGCTTCTCTTTACCTCTCCCTTACTCAATCTCCCCTCCCCCTCCCCCGCTTTTCTTTCCCTCCCCCCTTCCTATATCTCATTCCCCTCCAACCTCCTTCCCCCTTCTCTCTCTCTCCCCTCCTCCTCTCCAACTCTTTCCCTCCCCCCTTCCTCTCCCTTTCTCCCCCCTTCCTCTCCCTTCCCCTCCCCCTTCTCTCTTCTCCCTCCCCCCTCCCCTCCCCCTTCTCTCTCCCTCCCCTCCCTCCCCAACCTCCTCTCCCCCTTCCTCTCCTCCCCCACCCACCCTCCACACCCCTCCCACCCTCCCACCCACCCACTCCACCCCTCAAATCTTCTCCCCCCACCCTCACCCCACGCCCACCCCTACCCCCCTTTTCCACGTAAGCCCCCCAGCGGCTCAGCACACACACACGCCTGTATTATGTCACTCACTCAGCTGCCAAAAAAAGCCCTTAGCCACACAAACAAAGACACTCGAAGTTGCTTTCTTTGTGGGCTTTCCTTATGTTGCAGTCTCTCTTCGTGGTGGTAGAGTTGTTTATTGTTTATTATTTGTTTGCTTATTTGTTTTTGTTTTATTTTTGTTTGTTTGTTTGTCAGCTTGTGTTTTTGTTAGTTTTTATGTTTTATCTGTTTTTTTTTACTAATAATGATTCGGATTTTTTTCTTCATTTGTTTATCTGTTTGCTTGTTTGTTTGTTTGCTTTCATCATTTAATAATTTATTTGTTTATTTATCAATATCTTCATTTATTATCTATTTATCATTCATTTACCTGTCTACTCCTTACTACTTTCTATGATGACAATGGTAGGAATTAAAAAATGTAGTAATTAATGATGATAAAGATTGATAATGATAATTGATAATATTGCTACTACTACTGATGATGTAAATGATAATGACAATTATTATGATAATGATAACGATGAGGATAATGATAAAGATAATGATATTATTGATAATCATGATAGTAATAATGAAATAATAATGTAATGATGAGGATACGATGATGATGTAACTAATATAATAATGATAATAATGATAATAAGTATGATGAATAAATAATGATCATAATGATAACAATAATGATAATAATGATGAGGATAATAGCAATAATGATAATGAGAATAACATTAATAGTAGTAAGCATATTAACGATAATAACAATGATAATGAAATGGTAATAGCAACGATAATAAAAATAGTATTAACAATGACAATGATAATGATGATTATAGTAATAGTAGTGATAACTGCAATAATGATTATAAGAAAAGGTAATGACAATAATCGTAATGATAATGGTAACAACAATAGAAATAGTAATGATAGTAATAATATTAATAGTAATAATGATGATAATATTAATGATAACAACAATGATAACAATAATAACAATAACAACCAAAATAATAATGATAATGAAAATTATAGTAATAATTAATATGATCATTATAATGATAAGATAATAAAACAATAATGAAATGATAAGATGATAATAAATGATCATAATGATAATGACGATGATGATAACAATAGTAATGAAAATGAAGATAACAATAATAATGATGATAATGATAGTAATGATAGTGATAATTATCATTTTTTTATTGTTATCATTATTATCATTGTAATGATAATAATAATGATAATAAGAATAACATTAATAATAACAATAATGATGATAATAATAATAGAAATATTAATGATAATAAAGACAATGATAATAATAATATAATGATAATAAGACATGATAATAATATAAAATATTAATGATAATAAAGACAATGATAAATATGATATACAATAACAGCACAACAATAATAACAATAATAGCTAATAATGATAATAAAATAATAACACAACACTTTCTCAATAACAACGAGTACAAAAAAACCACAAACAACACAACATCAACAAAAGAATCAAAGAAATATCAAACCCAGAAAAAGCCCCCCCACCCCCCACCCCAAAAAAATAATAATAATAATAAAAAATAAAAAAATAATACACAACACAATGATACTAACACAGTCTATTCTTAGCCTGCGTGAACACTGCACCCAAGTGTATTTATCCTTAGTATGGGCTGAGATTCTGTCCCTTTAGCTGCATGGTGGATCTTGGTTGGGTCTGGCGGGTACATAGGGAGAGGTGTGGAACGAAGATGGATAGATGGATAGGGGGGGTAGGGAGAGAGAGAGGGGGGAGGGGGGGAGAGGGGGAGGGAGGGAGGAGGGAGGGAGGAGGGAGGAGGGGAGAGAGAGAGAGAGAGGGGGAGGGAGGGAGGAGACGGGTAGCGAGAGAGAGAAGAGAGAGAGAGAGAGAGAGAGAGAGAGAGAGAGAGAGAGAGAGAGAGAGAGAGAGAGAGAGAGAGAGAGAGAGAGAGAGAGAGAGATGAGATAGACGAGAGAGAGAAAGAGAGAGTGAGAGAGAGAGAGAAAGAGACAGACAGATATACAGGCAGACAAACATACAAACAAACAAACAAAACAAAAAACAGACAGACACAACAAAAGAGAAGCAGACGAAAGCAAACACAAGCACATAACACGCACATAGTACAGGCTGGGCTCCAAAATGCACTGAAAGCGTCGCTTGCAGAAGTTACAGAGAACTATTGATCCCCGTGAACAGCTGTAGGCAGAAGGCTAGTAGGTCCTGGTGGATGCTCGGCCAAGCTGTCTGTCTTTTCTCGTCTCTTTCTTGGATAAGTTGGGAGAGATTTTTGTTATCTTTACGACTGTGATCTTGGTGTAGTGTAAGGATGTTTCGCTCTCTCTCTTTTTTGTCTTTGTCTGATTTGCTTCTCTTTGGCAGTGATATATGTTAATATGTATATGTGTATATATATATATATATATATATATAATATATATATATATATATATATATATATATATATATATATATATATATATATATAGAATATGCACATACACACACATATATAGATAGATAGATGAGTGTGTGATAGATAAATAGATAGACAGAGAGAGAGAAAGAGAGAGAGACAGAGACAGAGACATAGACACAGAGAGGCAGACAGACACAGACACAGAGACAGACAGAGAATGTACTCAAAATATTCTCCAGCTTCCCAACATCTCCATATCCCGTTCAGCCGCTCATTCCCGCTGCATCTTTGCGACACAAGCACGTGCTCTCATCACGTGACCGCGCACGCACGTCTGGTAGCACCGTGCTTCATTATAGAACAGCTGAAGCGGCTCTAAAACCCCGGCGCCAGCGTCTCGGGGCGTCAGTAGCTCGAGTGCCAGCGTGGAGTGCCAAGCTGCCGCCGCTCCTCGTTCTGGCCCGGTGCCAATATGAATCCTGCATAGGGGAGGATCTGAAAATCATTTCTATTTCACTTCATATTTTCTGATCTCGCTGAGTCGCCTGTCATTAGGTTAGTGACGAGTTGAAAGGAGGTTGAGGAGTGAAGTGGAGGAAGTGAGTTTCGTGGACTGACGTTGCGAAAAAAGGAGAATTCAAGGATTGAAAGATAGGGTTAAAAAAGAATAGAATTGGAGAATTCAAGGATTGAAAGATAGGGTTAAGAGAGGAGAATAGAATTGTGACGACAGAAAGGCAATTTTGGAGACGGTGACGTAACAGAAAGGTAAATCTTGAAGACCGACGTGACACAATATAGTGACGTCACACTCTCACTGAACTCTTACTGAAAGAGAGAAAATGTTACTAAAGTGACACAATAAGAGACATATTCAGACATATTCCCCTCGAAAGTGAATAGACAGATAAGTAAAAGTGTGAAAAGATAAGATTGTGATAACACAGAACAACTTATAAAAAATGGTGTGAAGTATGAAATGTTGAAGCGATAACTATCACTGTGTTTGATGTTGAAAATGTTTGGTTGAAAGAGACTTTGAAACAAAATCCAGACATCACTGGACATTAAACAGTATTTTACGTACGATATCGTGAGGTTTTAAAGAGATGAGTGAACCTAGAGGGAAAAAAAAAAAAAAAAAAAAAAAAAAAAAAAAAATATATATATATATATATATATATATATATATATATATATATATATATATATATATATATAATATATATATATATATATATATAACGTAAATACGTTACCTCTTTTTCGTATGGAATTGTTTGTTTGTTTGTATGTGTAATGTCTGTGTGTGTGTGTGTGTGTGTGTGTGTGTGTGTGTGTGTGTGTGTGTTTGTTTGCTTATGTTGTGTATGTGTGCATGTGTGCGTTTGTTTGTGTATGTATAGTAAATACAATGAGAACAATAATAAGGATTATAACTTAGAATTTGCCGTGACAGGTTTTTTGCGAGCAGCCAGATTACAGCTGATCTGTTTACTGAACTTAAGGAATGGCGGGGGATGACATCTCCTTTCGCTGCAAGATCTGAACGCCAGTCAGCTAGAGTGAGAGACGAGAACGCAGCCACTGCATCAGTCTGTGTGTGTTTGTTTGTTTGTGTGGTTGTGTGTGTTTGTTTGTTTATGTGTGTGTGTGTGTGTGTGTGTTTGTTTGCTTATGTGTGTGCGTGTATGTGTGTGTTTGTTTGTGTGTGTGTGTTGTTTGTTTATGTGTGTGCGTGTGTGTTTGTGTGTGTGTGTTTGTTTGCTTATGTGTGTGTGTGTGTTGTTGTGTGTGTGTTGTGTGTGGTGTGTTGGTGTGTGGTTGTGATTGCATCTATCACACCTATGCATTGTTATTCTCATTCCTAGTTGCCCTCATACCTCATTTTTATATTTATTTTTATATAAACCTTATACTGTTCTATATATATTTTTCTCTCTTTCTCTCTCTCTCTCTCTCTCTCTCTCTCTCTCTCTCCTCTCTCTCCTCTCTCTCTCTCTTCTCTCTCTCTCTCTGTTACATTCATCTCTCTCCTAAACATAATGAAATCCTTTCTAAACCATTTTTTCGCCCGAACACAGGATCTGCCGAAGCCGAAGTCAAGAAAAACAGCTGACGTCATGGCCTTCACTGACTTCGACTCCATTTTCGACCACATCGGTGGTTTCGGACGCTACCAGATGGTGAGGAGCGGGACACATGTATGCTGCGTCTGTGTTATATGGTGATGCGTGAATATGATACATAGGAGGCTTATGATACATATAAGAATGTTATAATAAGGATAAATAAGCGTTGTACAGACAGATACAGTTGATATCTATGCGTGATATATACGATAACTGAGCGAGGTCCATGATGATACATAGCTGCGGTAGATGATGGTGTGCCATCATCGTGAAGACACAAGTATGATTCGTATAAGAGATAAGAATTTATTTGGCACATGGATATAGAACCTTGGTATATAAAGATAAGTCTGAATCATCCTCTCTCTCTCTCTCTCTCTCTCTCTCTCTCTCTCTCTCTCTCTCTCTCTCTCTCTCTCTCTCTCTCTCTCTCTCTCTCTCTCTCTCTCTCTCTTTCATATCTCCATTTTTTTTTCTCTCTCAGCCAGACGTATATTCACATACATTCACACACGCACACAGACACATCCTCCCACACATACAGGCACACAGACACATCCTCAAACACACACACACACACACGCCGACAGAGATAGATATATGATACGAAGATAGACTACAGAAATTAGGACTTACTACTTTGGAAGAAAGAAGGAAAGGGAGAGAGAGATAATGCTGTTCAACTGTATTGCAGGAAGAGTGAAATTAGATAAAGTTGATTTTTTAAATCTTGAACACAAGAAGGACGAGAGGACACAGCAAAAATGATGAAAGTAAAAAGAGGTAATAAAGATGTCAAAATATTCAGC